GTAGTACACATAGCACATGTTACCAAGTGGACATTCAGAAATGACAATATTTTAATTTGAGGTCAATTTCAACAAGGAGTAGGTACTCAGGAAACTCTTGTGATGACAAGGACATTGAATGTCAGTTGTAAAGGTAAACAATTTGTTTAACTGCATATCTCCTTTATGCATTTACTGCTTGTACTTTGACAGAAAAATAAAGAAAAAGTTGCTCCAGCCACTTGTGAGGCAGACCTCCTCGCAGCCTGCGCAACCAGAAGTGATGATTTCACACATCTTCATATCTTCTATGGAATCTACTTGGATGCATTCAATTTATTAGAATCAATTATAAGTTCAAGTGGGGTCAAGTTCAAAATGTTAGTAAAATCTATTGCTATTATTACTACATCAAAGGGCCCTCCTGTCACAGACTTGCCTCCCCACAAAGTCTTCAGATGTTGCATCTTTTCTACCCTGTACTGTGAAGATGTGTGACGTCATGAGTTCCTGTCAACTAGGCTGTGATGAGGTCTTCCACACAAATGGGTAGAGCACAATCTTTTTCAGCTGGATCTCCTCACAGTTTTATTCTTCTGGTCAAAATACAGGCAGTAAATGCTTTAAGGAGTAAGGCAAGATAAGTACACAAATGTAAAAAATATTCAAATTTTACTAAATTTTCTAGTTACATGGGTCAAGCAGTCTCACCTGTTTAAGCTTATTATGATTGAAACCCAATGAATCAATTTAATAATAATATAATTTTTTAAGTATAATTGATATTTTTATACTTATCCTGACTCATGATCTTTTGCTTATCTCCCTTTCCTTTTCGAATGGTAGTGGAACACTTGAATCCCTTGAAGTTTCCGAAGCGGACGTAACAATACACTCACCCACTTTCTTGTCTTACTTCAGTCTCAGACAAGTTGAATCATGTTGATTCATGTGGCTACAGATAAACTAGTATCTTCTTATTACTAGATATCTCATAACAACCCATAGATTATGATAAGATCTTTATCATAAATGAGTTGCGACCCCTTCATGTACAGGTAAGATCTTTACCCGTACAGGATCTTTAATCAATCATGCTAGCCTGTCCTAGACTGTGTGCATGGACTTTAAAACTAATACTTTTTCCTTAGTAAAAGTTATCAACAAGTCAACGTGATAAAGTGTGTGATTTTCCAACTCAGCGCCTTTGAGGAACCGTTAGTTGCTGTGCTACAACGAGAGGCCCAAATTGGTGAATGCCTTAGACGTTTTCAGTGGCTATGTCTCGGAGGTAGTGGTTGACAAACACCGTATCCGACTTCCAAAAGCAGCCCTCCATAATTGCTGGTATAGAGCAATTTCTCTGCAGAGCCAGTGTTGACGCCAGTGCTCTGACTTCGTGTGGGTTGGAAGCTCTAGGAGGTTATAGTCCTGCTGCTATATATGCTCTCAATATGGCGGCTCTCATCCAGAACGATGTCTCTGTTGATAATGGGATGAACAGGCACTTGAATTTTTGTCTCCTTGTCTCAGTCTCTTGAAGATATATCATCAGGGCTCTGACCGGACACAAGGATAGGTCTTCTATATCCTCTAGGCCGAGGATTGTAGATAGCGCTGGTACGTGGAACTGTCTATCTGGCTGACCAGGTAGTTCCATATAAGTCGTAGATGAACTGCAGCATGTTGCCTCGTGTCGAATCTGGTTCAACCAAAGTCCAGCGCATGTATCTCTGATATTCGAGCTGCTGTGGCTAGCGCAAGCAGGAACAGAGTCTTCTGTGTCAGCAGCTCGAGGGTAGTCTGATCTAGAGGTTCGTAGGCATCACTCGTAAGATGACCTAGAATTACATTCAGATCCCAGGCCGGAGCTCTGAACTTCTTTTGCTGGTCTTCCAGTTTAAAAGATCTCAGCAGAGCAAGTAATTCTGGTACTTTCGTCAACTTGATGCCTATTTTCATGGTAATCACTGTACTGATGGCGGCGAGGTATGTAGATAATGTCGAACCTTTCAGATGTCTGTTCTGTCTAAAATGACACAGATATTCCGCCACTTCAGGATGAGTAGCTTTCATCGCAGTGAAGCCTTTCCGCCTTGCATAAGTCTCAAACTTCAGCCATTTGTCATCATACAGGTTATGAGTAAATCTGCATAACGCTAGCGTTACTGCCTTGGCTGCCCTGGCGGAGTATCCTCTTTTCTTCAAAGATGTTTTGATACTGTCCACACGTGTAGCTGGAACAATGTCGGGTTCCTGTGGACTTGCTTGGTGTGTGGATGTATGAGTAGGTTCAGCCAATCTGGTAACTTGATTGCTTGACTTCCGAGATCTTCTATTAGGTCTAGGAACCATACTCTCGCTGGCCAGTATTGAGACCAAAGTCAGTTGTAGCGCCTGTGTCTGTTTGATCTTCAACAGTACTTCCGGAAGTAATATCGGGGGTGGAAACGCGTAAGCGTTTTGTCCTTCCCAAGATATGCTCAGTGCATCTGTTGCCCAGACTTGAGGATCTGGAACTGGTGAGACAAACGTCGGTAGTTGTTTGTCGAACCTCGTGGCAAACAAGTCCATGCATGGGGATCCTATTTTCCCAAATCTGACTTCATAAGGTTCACCAGCCATCCTAGTTGAGTGAACAACTTGATTGTGAAGTTCAGTTGTAGTTTGAGTTGACTGGCATCTTGGTGAACCTGAATTCCGTCGTCCAAGTTGAAGGCATTGCGTAGACCTCGATGATGTAGATATGCGACTATAGGCTTGGTTACTCGTGTGAATAGCCACGGAGCCGAAGATATTCCAAACGGTAGGACATTCCATTGGAAGTGCTGCCCTATGAATAGGAATCGTAGATACTTTCTTGATTCCGGATGTATGGGGATGTGTAGATACGCATCCTGCAGGTCTATGCTGGCCATGTAATCTGCTGGACGGATGAGTAGTCTGAGTGGGGATCCTATTTCCCTTATGATGAGCCGGAACGCTTCTGAATGGGTGTAGTGGTCGGGAGAGAGCGTCTGCAAGTACGTTCTTGGCTCCGGGTATGTGACACGCCTTTATCCAGATGTTTGCTTCCTCCGTGATGTTGAACAACTGGAATGTGAGCTGTAGCAGGCTTGGAGACCTTGTGGATCCTTGCCGATTTATGGAGAATGCCACTTTCGAGTTGTCCGTGTGGACCATCAGCATTCTGTTGTTCAGCGAGCTTGACCATAGTTGTAAGGCGTTTATCACGGCTTTCATCTCCATCAGATTGATGTGAAGATGCTGCTCTATTTTGGACCACCTTCCTGATGCAACTTGACTGTTGAGATGCGCACCCCAGCCCTGCATCGAAGCATCTACATACAGATGTGTGTCAAAGGCCGGCTCTTGTAAATAGGTCCCTCCACAGACGTTCGACCTATGCATCCACCACAGTAGATACCTCTTGAGGTTGTCTGGCAGCAAGATAGGGTCTACGCTGTCTCAGTGATAAATCTACAAATTCAACTGCCTGAGTCCCGGGACTCACTGAGCTGAATAACTACGAGTCCCTCAGAACTTTTATGAGTCCCTAACAAAACTTAATGCCACCAATATTATTCAAACTGGTTTATTGTTACTATAGGTTGCACAGTGAGTCTGACAGGTCTGGGATATTTCACAGAACAGAGCTGGTAGTACCTAAATCGTAACAAATGGAGACTCTTCCATTTTAACTTGTAGTTCATACCCTATCATATCAAACACAGATGTTAACAGATCACTGGCAGTGGTTGGAGAATCATAGTTGATTTTACCTTCCTTGAGAATTTCAGTGTCTTCGTTTTCAAATTCATATAAAAAGTCAACAAAACGTTTAAACTTTGTCAGTGGGATGTTTTCACAAGCTAACCAATGAACAGATTTCATCAAGGCGACAGCTGCTTTGTCTTGTTTTTCATACATACGGGCAGTTGCAACCTGGAAATCATCACAAAGTTTTGGAGCCTGAACGGACAGTTTATTATCATTATGATGAGATGTCTGGTCAAAGTTATATTTTAAAACTTTCTGCATTTAGCATCTTGTGTCATACCATTTTCAGTACATAGTTATTAAATAGTACAAAATATTAAATCACCTTCCCTGTCATAAGTCAGCCATAACCGATGAGTATCAGGCCAACCTGACTGAAATGTCCTAACTTTGTGTTTTCTGACAGTATCTATCTGGGCATGTTGCCTGCTATATTATAAAAATAACAACAGGGCTCCAGACCTTTGACAATCAAATGTTTTCTTTTACTAGAAAAATAAAAAAGTTACTAGCCAGACCAATGTAACTTCACTGTAATATTTTGTGCATAAAGTTCTACAATTCCAACCAAAGTTTTGTTTTATTTCTTCACTCTGTTCAGTGATTCAAAACAAATTACATCAAAAGAAATATGCCAACTGGAAGCCACTTTAACAAGTATGAACACAAATAGTAACTGTCTTACTTTAACTATTAACATTAAACAAATTATATCATAAATGTCATCATAATTATAAATGAAATGATTCATTTATATGATTACTTTCCCAGGACTTGAGATGCAGAACCTTAAACAGAATGACATTCTGTCTCAGCAGAAATTTAACCTGTCAAATGTCACTTTCACTTTAAAAATTACATGCAGATAGATTTAACAGTTGTTAAGCTACTGACTAAAGCTTCCTGCTTTTCTCTAACTGGTACTGAGTGCTCACACTGTTGATTCAGAGTCACAATGTTCATTGACCAATCAGTTTGTCTTGAAAAACCTCATTTGCATATCGCTTACCTCCCTTAGCCTGTTTGTGTCTATTTATAGAGTGTAAAAACTAGGTTAGTAGTTCTGCACATGCTCGAGCAATGAATCTTGCGATCTCATTTGCATACCGCTTACCTCCCTTGGTGTGACCTAGATGTCTATTTTTGGAAACGTGGAAATGAACTTAATATCATGACGAATGAAAGCTGCGATCGTTTTACAAATAATGTGTACTTATTAGCTCATGTCAATTATTTGAGAATGGAAGTTAATCTACGGAGATTTAGCCATGTATACTTTGATATTGCCTCTCCACAAAAATAAACATTAGTGTTTCATCAAAAGCTTGTGTCCAAGAGGACGCACATGTAAAATAAATATGAGTCCTGTCAGAATTTGTTGCATCAGAGACGCGGGACGCGGGGGTAGATTTATCCCTGTGTCTACATGTTTTGTCAGGAACCGTTGCAGCGGTCTTAGTTGTAACCTTCCTGTGTGAGTCAAGTCCTGCGCCGAGGTTAGTAGACCGAGTAGAACTTGCCATGATCGTAGTGTTAACGGAGAGATGACTGCTGGTGGAATCATGGCTTGTATCTTGACGATCTTCTGGGACGACAATACGATTCTGTGTTGTGATAAACCTTATCCCCAGAAATTGCAGATCTTGTTTTGGTTCCAACTCTGACTTCATAAGGTTCATCAGCCATCCTAGTTGAGTGAACAACTTGATTGTGAAGTTCAGTTGTAGTTTGAGTTGACTGGCATCTTGGTGAACCTGAATTCCGTCGTCCAAGTAGAAGGCATTGCGTAGACCTCGATGATGTAGATATGCGACTATAGGCTTGGTTACTCGTGTTAATAGCCACGGAGCCGAAGATATTCCAAATGGTAGGACATTCCATTGGAAGTGCTGCCCTATGAATAGGAATCGTAGATACTTTCTTGATTCCGGATGTATGGGGATGTGTAGATACGCATCCTGCAGGTCTATGCTGGCCATGTAATCTGCTGGACGGACGAGTACTCTGAGTTGAGGTAGGTGAATCATTCTGAACCTCTCTGGTTCCAGCAGATAGTCTTTGTTGAATTTGCTCATGTTGTAAATCAGTCTGAACTTCTCCTTGGAGTTCTTCTTGGGTAGCTCGTCACGCCGAAGACCCGGGTTCGAATCCCCACATGGGTACAATGTGTGAAGCCCATTTCTGGTGTCCCCCGCCGTGATGTTGCTGGAATATTGCTAAAAGCGGCGTAAAACTAAACTCAGTCAGTCAGTCTTCTTGGGTATAGAAGAATTGGGGAATAGAAGCCTGGAGTGAGATGATGCTGATCTATTATCTCTACTGCCTCCTTCATAAGTAGTGAGTCGATGGCTTCTTGTAGTTTGTCTGCCTGTTCCTCTGCACAGTCGAAGACCATCGGGCTGAGGGTTAGCGGAGGTGTGGCCTTGAGTTGTATTCTGTATCCTTCTCTTAGTACTTGGGAGACGTAGTCGTCCTCTAGCATTCCCCAATTTTTCCAGTACTTTTGTAGACGTCCACCCACTGTCGACGGTTTTACAGGTACGGCTGGGGGTGGAAGACGCCAGTCGTTCCGAACCTTGATATCAACATCTAGTTCCTCTGGATCCTCTGGGAGTGCGGCCTCTCCCTGAGTTTCCTCTGTAATTTCCAGATGGGCGACGAAAAGATCCTTTGCTGCCTCTGAAGCTGGGGTACTTCTTCTCCTTTGCCTTCTGTATGCCGGAATATTTGGACTTGCTGTTATACTTTTGCGAAGTATGGATGACGTTGGCCAGAGTAGCTATGGATTTTATCATCATAACTTCTCTAGAGTCATGCGTAGCTTCCTTAGCTGCATCGTCTATTTGTCCTCCAAAGATACTAGGCGCCTCCCATGGAGCTCTCAGTAGCGGTTGGGTGAATCTATCACTCCATGAACAGGATGCAAGTAGCCCTTGTCTGCGTAGTAAAGTGAGACCTGCAGATATAGATGCCAGATGGTCCAATAAAAAGTATTGGTCCTTCTTCTGTGTTATGAGGGCCGAATATATCATTCTATCCTCTTCCGAACTTGAGTTCTGGAATTTATTGATCAATGCTTCATTGATGGCTCTTGACCTGGCCAACCCGAAGAAGGATCTCCTTGTAGCAGTATCAAGTTGAGATAACTTTTTATCTTCCACTTTATACATCTTGTTTCGGGAGTCGTTGACTAACTGTATGTTATCATCCCATTCAGGCGCCTTTGTAAATGGATCCATATGTTGTAAGGGGAATCTCTTCACATTAAATGATGGCAGATGCTGACTCTGGTACTTGGATGCTTTCGCGAAAGCTATGTGTAGGTTAGAGGGTATCTTGGATATAGGTTCAATCGGAGGGATATGACAGAGTCAAAGTCGTCGTTACGCATCATATAAGTGTAGACTTCATCTTTATCCTTAGGAGGAGACTCCAAGTTCAACCCTTTGGCAATTCACGCTGTAACCTCTGAGTCTGGGAAGACGAAGTTCTCTTGCTGATCCAAAGTCTCCTGCTAGGCCTCTGCGACTCATCCATCTGTGAACCTGTATCCCTTCTCGAACCTTCATCATCCTTTCGCGAACCTCTATCTGAAGATTCCTCCTATGTGAACGTCTATCTTGAGAGTGCTCTCTTCACGTACCTCTATCTGTAGATTCATCTGTGATGTGAGCTATCCCTCCGCGAACATCTGTCGCTAGATGTATCCCTTCGTGAACACCTGTGATGTGAGCCTTCTCTTCGCGAACACCTGTCTCGTGATGAATGACTTCGCGGACGTCTGTGAGAGATACGAGATCTCTATCTAGGTGTAGGAGATGGATCCTTCAATGTTCTCGAACGTTGAGGGTTCGCGGATGTAGAACTGTGAGTAGGCATCTCATCTCTTCTATCCTCTTCCAAGATGACAGAGTCGTCCAACTTAGGAGACCTTCGCAAAGGTGTACGTTCGCCAACGTAGTCTTGAGACGTAGTTATATGAGGAGTAGGTTCGCGCAGGTCAGTAGGTTTGCGCACAGTGTCGGTAGATGAGAGGCTTCGCCGAGCCTTCGCTTCTTCCTCAAACCTACATTCCATCATGGCCATCATCTGGTTGGTGAATTGTCTCATAAATTCACCCGGATCAAAGTTCTGCGTTGATTGAAGCTGCTGCGGTGTAGATGAAGCGTTCGCAAACGCTGATGAGTTATGCGCCTCAACTTTACTGAGTTATGCGCCTCCGTTGAGAAGTAGGTGGTAGTTCGTCAAACAGCTGGCCTTCTGTGACCTTTGCAGAGAACGATCTAGTAGTTGTAGAAGTCGATTGAGTTGCTGATCTCATAGGTACTTCGGGTAGAAGTAACGGGGGATCATCTAAAACGTCTACTTCATGTGGAGGTAATATCTCTTCGTTGAAGGATTTCTGATGCGTTGACTTACTAGGCCGCGTAGATTTACCCTTCAATCTGGTAACAGATGCTTTCTTCTGCGACGTAGAAGAAGATGACGTCTTTTTCTTAGCCTGAGTCGGAGTCAACTGCGTTGTAGCCGATCTCTTCTTGGCCCCCGTACCAGCAGACGCACTAAACATATAGCACCAGTATTATGAACTTCAGCAGTAGCAAGCAACATACGGTTTGCAGGCTGATCTCCTGTTTTATCAGCCGTGACTTGAGATGACTTCCTCACCCAATCCATGGCACGTCTATAGATATAAGACAAATATTGATTAAATTGTAGATTTGATAAATCAACACAATAAGTACAGCGCAAGCTGGAAGAACATGGTTTTATGCATGAAGGGCACTGGGGGTGAGGATCAGCCACGGATAACCTGTGCCTGCAAACACTGCAAGATTTCATGAAATGTAAACAAAGTTACATCACGATGAAATAAAGACACAAATACAAAAAAATTGTACAAAATTTTTACATATAATACATAGTAGTTATTGCCAAATCCATATACAGCGTAATTTTGAAGAATAGGACCTAAATAAAAGGACTCCAGTGCTCGCCCAACCATCCGCTTGGGTGAAAAGGGAGAGAGTGAAAAGTAAGGCTGGTCACATGACTGTTTGCGCAGAAAAGGGCATAAGGGAGGTAACTCGTGTGTGAGTGTATTTTTACGTCTGCTTCGGGAACTTCAAGGGATTCAAGTGTTCCACTACCATTCGCAAGGGAAAGGGAGATAAGCAAAAGATCATGAGTCAGGATAAGAATTTTTAATTATTTTTTTTTATTCTTTGCCTATATTGGTTGTTTAGAATTTAATATATAGAAGACTAGAAATAAGACCAGTTCGTAAGGCTGAATAACATCATGATAATGATGTTCTTTGCAGATTGAAGTGAAAGTATACACAAGGAGAAATGTCTGTGACGGAAGAAGTCGTGATGCCAACCTCAGACAGCTTCTGGGAGTTGGGCAAGTTCATGAAAACAGTGAAAAGATGTGACAATGGCTACAAATTGTGTGATTCTCTGAGGCAGTTGGTGGAACAACGTAGTGAGATTGAAAAAAAGTATGCCAAGGACTTGGTACAGTGGGCCAAAAAATGGAACAACTTCTTAGATAATGGTAAATTATTACTATTACCTCATATATGTTATATTTGAATGTGGAATTTGACTATCTGTCTATGATGGAAAAGTAATAAAGTGTTATTCTAATTGGAATAAGTAGTATTTCACTTTGCAAGAACTCCAAACCCAAAGAAATATTTTTTTATCAAATGAGCTCAGCTTATTATAGTTGATAGAATAACACTAAAATCATTTGAAAATGCCTTGGTTAATTATTATCATGTTATATGAAATTGTTACAGCAATTAGTCTTTGTTCATTTGCTAGCTTGCTTGGTGTTATTTTGCTACAGGTGCAGAGTATGGCACAATGCAGGGAGCATGGCGAGGACTGCTGTGTGAGGCTGATAGTCTCTCTGATTTACATACTCTTATTGGAGACAGATTAATGTCAGAAGTGTATCATTCAGTGAAAATCTGGCAAAAAGAAAACTATCACAAATCAATGATGCATTTCAAAGAAACAAAAGAATTTGAAGATAGTTTCAGAAAGGTGAGTAATACTGATTCTACTACCATGGAACATACTTGATGCTGCTTGGTGAATCTATTGTTTCAAATCACAATTTGTTTGAAACAACTGATTTGCATTACTTGGGATGCTTTTATTATTTTATTATAGGGGTGGGAGTGTGTGTTATTATTTTGGACTTCATCTGTCTGTGTAGATTCGTCTTTTCAGGAGCAGAACATAAAAACCATTAAATATTCCTTCACCAAACTTTGCACAATGATAGGTCTGGTGGTGAATTGGTGACTTTTGATAGTTTTGGATTTCTGAATAAAATATGTTTTTAGTTTCCATGGCAACTTCTTTGACTTCTACTGAAATTGGTGATGGTGCTCTTTTTCCTTGCAAAACTTTAAAACCATTGAATGTTTCTTCACCAAATTTGGAACAAAGATAGGTCTGGTGGTGAACTGGTGCCTTTTGAAAGTTTTGGATTTCTGAATAAAATAATGTTTGCATTTCCATGGCAACAAGTGTGACTTTGAAATTGGTAGTAGTGATCCTTTCCAGAACAGAAATTAAAAACCTTTCAATACTCTCTTTCCACTTCTTGGGTATTCAAGAACCAAATGACATAAATCAACAGTACCACTCTATTTCCAGTATCAACATTACTAAGGTACATCAAGCCATGGAAGTACTCAGGCAGTCTGTTGTTGATACAAGCATGCTAGTACATTTATATGAATAGTTTACATCTGTATGGTTTTGTTAGATCAATGTGAAGAACAATGTGTACATGATGACAATATTTGTCATAACTAGTTGACATTTTCATGAAGAGTATTTTACCATTGTGGGGGGATATTGATGACTTTGTCTTCTAGTTGGATTAGGCTTTGGGATAATGTCAAAAATGCTCCACATGAACCTGTGTCTTCAATTCTTAGCTGCTCAATCTTACCTGTTCCTTTCTCTCAATTTTTTCTTATCCTGACTCATGATCTTTTGCTTATCTCCCTTTCCCTTGCGAATGGTAGTGGAACATTTGAATCCCTTAGTTCCCGAAGCAGACGTAACAATACACTCACCCACGAGTAGCCTCCCTTTTCCCACGTAAACAGTCATGTGACCAGCCTTACTTTTCACTCTCTCCCTTTTCGCCAAAGCGGATGGTTGGGCGAGCACTGGAGTCCCGTATACGGCATTATATCCTTTTTATTTAGGTCCTATTCTTCAAAATTACGTTATGTATGGATTTGGCTGTAACTACATTGCATTATATGTAAAGAATTTGAAAAAAATTATTTGTATTTGTGTCATAATTTCATCGTGATGTAACTTGATTACATTTCATGAAATCTTGCAGTGTTTGCAGGCACAGGTTATCCGTGGCTGATCCTCACCCCCAATGCCTTTGTGCATCAAACCATGTTCTTCCAGCTTGCGCTGTACTTATTGTGTTGATTTATCAAATCTACAATTTAATCAATATTTGTCTTATATCTATAGACGTGCCATGGATTGGGTGAGGAAGTCATCAAAAGTCACGGCTGATAAAACAGGAGATCAGCCTGCAAACCGTATGTTGCTTGCTACTGCTGAAATTCATAGTACTGGTGCTATGTTGAGTATGTTGCAGGGGCAGTCTGCTGGTACGGGGGGCCAAGAAGAGATCGGCTACAACACAGTTGTCTCCGACTCCAGCTAAGAAAAGACGTCTTCTTCTACATCGCAGAAGAAAGCATCTGTTACCAAATTGGAGAGTAAATCTACGCGGCCTAGTAAGTCAACGCATCAGAAATCCTTCAAAGAAGAGATATTACCTCCGCATGAAGTAGACGTTTTTGATGATCCCCCGTTACTTCTACCCGAAGTACCAACGAGATTGGCGACTCAATCGACTTCCACGACTACTAGATCATCTCCTGCAATTGTCACAGCAGGCCAGCTGTTTGACGAACTACCACCTACTTCTCAACGGAGTGAAGTCGAGACACACAACTCATCAGCATTCACGAACGCTTCATCTACACCGCAGCAGCTTCAATCAACGCAGAACTTTGATCCGGGTGAATTTATGAGACAATTCACCAACCAGATGATGGCCATGATGGAATGTAGGTTTGAGGAAGAAGCGAAGGCTCGGCAAAGCATCTGATCTACTGACATCGTGCGCAAACCTACTGACCTGCGCGGACCTACTGCTCATAGAACTACGTCTCAAGACTACGTTGGCGAACGTACACCTTTGCAAAGGTCTCTACAGTCTGACGACTCTGTCATCTTGGAGGAGGATAAAAGACATGACATGCCTTCTCACTGTTCTACATGTGCGAACCCTCAACGTTTCAGAACATCGAAGGATCCATCTCTTACATCTAGCCGCTCTAGATCAAGATCTCATATCTCTCACAGACGTTTGCGGAGTCACTCAAGGTTCGCGAAGGGATACATCTAGCGACAGAGGTTCGTGAAGAGAAGGCTCACATCACAGAGGTTCGCGAAGAGATGAATCCACAGATAGAGGTTTGCGAAGAGATGACTCTCAAGATAGACGTCGCAAAGGGAGGGATCTTCAGACAGAGGTTCGCGAAGGGATGATGGAGGTTCGAGAAGGGATACAGGTTCGCAGAAGGATGATTCGCGGAGGCATAGCTCTACCGATCAGGAGATAACTGATGAACAACCAGACTTCGTCTTCCCGAACTCAGAGGTTACAGCTTGGATAGCCAATGGTTTGAACTTGGAGTCTCCTAAGGATATAGATGAAGTCTACACTTATAAGATGCGTAATGACGACTATTCCTCCAATTGAACCTTTATCCAAGATACCTTCTAACCTACACACAGCTTTGAGAACAGATCAACATCAACAAGGTTCGAGAACTCTTAGATCTACAGGCAGATAACAGGAACGCAGACATCTACAGGGTTTGCGAACCCTTACATCAACAGGCAGGATGTTGACGTCGACTCTATTACCATAAGGCTGGATAAAACGAAGCAATGATGAAAACGGATGGTTTTGTCAGAGTTTATAACTCAACAAAAACATCTACAACATGTGCGATCTCTACAGTTTACAGCCTGCACAACTCTACAGCCTGCACATACCTTACACCTGTAATAGGTTCAGTTTCGGACAACAACCTACTTGATGAAAGGAATCCCTTCATCTACATGGATGCTGAGGTCTTATACCTGGTAGCAGATGGCCTGCGGATTTTGTCGTTCACTCACTCACTCCAACCCAACAGAGACGTACTGCATATACGCTGATGACTTCGACCAATATGATATCACCTATGAAGCCGATATCTCAAGTACTGGAGAACCTCAAGGCGACCTTTGTAAAGGGCTTAAGGTTAACAACGCCTTCAAGAATCCTTGAACGGATGTACAGATGATATTATTAACACTCGTCACTCAGCATGGGGATTAGGATTTTATATCCTATCAACTAGATTCAACATCGGTATTTCTTCAAGATCCATACAGACATACGTCTCGACAGCCTCCTTCGTCATGCTGGTTTATATTATCCACAATGGGAATATGTGATTTATATCACTGAACAAGATTTTACGCTTGGAGCAGCCCTTATTCAAGAGGATTATATGAGCGGCGTAGAATTACACTCGCTTTTACTCAACCAACTAATTGCACCAGATTTTATGCAGGCCAACTTCCTACAACACCGGTGATGTCATGCTTGAAGCTGATTGGTCCACGTCAGACAACGCCTCTCCCACTGACAGAGCAGGCACCAGCAAGTTTACTGACTTGTAAACAAACCTGTTGTACGGGGGAATACTTCATTGGCAGCCTTGGAAACAGTATACAACTACGATATGTTATCATCATGGGAATCTAATAGATGTCTAGCCTTGACAGCAGCATAAACGATGTTTATTTTGGAAGTTGTCGCTGATAAAAATCGGTATGAGTACCTATCCCCTGCGATGCCACACTGGAGCCAGCCTTGCTATAAATAGACAACGCTTCGATGTATGCTGATCAACACAGATCGCCTGCGTATATAAGGGGAAGAATGATGTATCATCACTGCAATCAGAGGTTAGCACTTCCAATGGAACGTCCTACCGTTTGGAATATCATCGGTTCTATGATTATTCATACGAATAACCAAGCCTATCTGCACCTATCTGCAGCATCAAGGTCTACGCAGTGCCGGTTATCTGGACGACGGCATACCAATCAACTCAGACAGCAGCTGAACTTCACAATTAAGTTTGCTCACGCAACTAGGATGGCTAGTGAACCTGATGAAGTTGGCGTTAGAATCAAACAAGATAAGAATTATCACAACACAGAATCGAATTGTGGTCCCAGAAGATCATTGGGTCAAGATACGAGCCATGATTCCACAAGCAGTCATCTCTCTGCTGCAACGGTTCTTGACAAAACATCTGGACAGCGTCGACCCTATCTTGCTGCCAGACAATCTTAAGAGGTACCTACTTTGGTGGACCCACAGGTCGAACGTCTGTGGAGGGACCTATTTACAAGAGCCGGCCTTCGACACACATCTCTATGTAGACGCATCGATACTCGGTTGGGGTGCACATCTCAACAATCAAGTTGCATCAAGAAAGTGGTCCAAAACAGAGCAGCATCTTCACATCAATCTGCTGGAGATGAAAGCTGTGATCGACGCCTTACAACTATGGTCAAGCTCGCTGAACAACAGAATGCTGATGGTCCACACGGACAACTCGAAAGTGGCATTCTCCATATACAGGCAAGGATCTACAAGATCACCAAGCCTACTACAGCTCACATTCCAGTTGTTTGACATCATGGTGGAGGCAAACATCTGGATAAAGGCGTGTCACATACCCGGAGCCAAGAACGTACTGGCAGACGCTCTCTCCCGACCACTGCACCCGTCACCTATGGAATGGATGCTCCATCCAGAAGCATTTCTGCTCATCATAAGGGAAATAGGATCCCCATGCATAGACCTGTTTTCCACAAGGTTCAACAAACAACTACAGACATTTGTCTCACCAGTTCCAGATCCTCAAGCCTGGGCAACAGATGCACTGAGCATATCATGGGAAGGACTAAACGCTTATGCATTTCCACCACTGATATTACTGACTTTGGTCGCACCATACTTGCCAGCGAGAGTATGGTTCCTAGACCTAATAGACAATCTCGGAAGTCCAACAATCAAGTTACCAGATTGGCCGAACCTACTCATACATCTGCACACCAAGCAAGTCCTCAGGAACCCAACACTGTTCCAGCTACACGTGTAGACCGTATCAAAACATGTTTGAAGAAAAGAGGATACTCCGCCAGGGCAGCCAAGGCAGTAACGCTAGCGTTACGCAGGTCTACTTGTTTTGAATGAACAATGACTAAATGCGGAGTCTTCCAATATCCTTTTAATGTAGATCAAGGTATATTCTGCAAGAATAAAATGCAGAAAATAAATACATACTTCCATGTCTTCATAGTAAATACATATGCACCTATGAATACATCAAATGTGAACATCTCTGAAACCCAAGATTTATACTAAATCTCAAATTCAACATTTATACTCTCCACATAATATAAATAATATACTTCAGACCAACTATGCACGAAATGATATGAGCAGATAAGTATTATAACATTAATGTAATGATAAACCACTTCAATGTGCCTAAATAACAACTGATAAGGCATATATCCTAATATACAAATGGACTCTTCCAAAGTTGTTCATATTCGGAAACTGTCGTGAAAACACAGAATTTTGTGTACAAAGTAATTATTTAAAGAACCTTGAATAAACCTGTAAAGCATTAAACAGTCCTTTCCATTACAAACACTGCTTACATACAGCAAATTGCCTACGCAATATCATCTTAGAAATAATATTGAATCTGCCAAAGCGTGCATGTGAAGATATTTGAAAAGATAAATGCAATGCTCCACAAGTTGCTATTATTAATGAAATAGTAGTCATTAAAATATATTGTGAACATTCTTTTGCATAATGTATAATTTCCTACCTGAAGAGTGATTTCTCCACAAAGAAAAGTTGCAAAATGCACTCTCTCTCTGACTGTTGCATGTTGCTCTAACTGACATGTGCTCTGCTCTTTGCCTAAAAAGCTAGTTTATAAGGGGAGATAATTTGCAATCAATAATGTCTAATGATGCAAACCACTAATCAAATAAAAGAAGTTTCTATGGTTCTAGAAAATACATAGCATATTTTGTTACTAGTTTCAAATGAAAGTGCCACCAAGCAAATCTGTACTAGTTTACACCTCTGGCATACATTTATAACACTATAAAACCCATGATACACAAACAGTGTATACAACTTAAAGCTGAGTAATCATAATAATATTCAGATTTCTTATGTTTCAGAACACCTGTTTAAACAGTATCTACAAAATAATATATGTTCCATGAAGTCATCTCTCGGGGAAATAGAAAGATACATATCTCAGCTACAAATTACTGATTTCATACAATATCACCATACTCACTCACAGTGATTTTCCTAATACAGTCAAATCCCGATGTCTCAAATATTATGCATAACTCGAAGTACCTGTCGGTCCCGACCATTCCCTGTTATAGTTGTCATCATTTGATTACCGGTTACACGAATTCATCTCATAAATACACACGATGATTCGAAAAGGAAATTTGGTCCCATGAGATTCAAACAACAT